TGAACGCAACCTCTTCAAATGCTATTTTCCTTTATTAAATTCATGAGTTCCAAAGACAATAGACTTAAGTTCGCAGAAAGTATTTTTTTGGCTAATGTTTTCGCATAACAAATAATAGATGCAAAGTAGTAATTTTACCGCGGGCTATTGTCAGTAAAATGGAGATCAGTTTTATTCATCTCCATTGGAATGAAATTATAAACTTCTCCGGGTCGCGGAATACAGAATTTGTTTATTTATTGTTTTTTAAAAGTTCCATGAGATTAGACGAAGATTGTTTTTTTTTTCGCCAATTACTTAACGAATTTTTCATCCACCAGATCAGAGGGATTATTATTCAATGAATAGTTTGTTTCGTTGGAGCGAAAATACACGGAATATTGGTTGCTCGAAAGAAAGAAAGAAAGAAAGAAAGAAAGTTCTCTTTTAACGTCATGTCAACTCGAGATGTGTTGCTTCAAAATACAGCAATTGTGGCAAACGTCATATCAAATCTGTTGGTTATTTAATGCCGAAAAGATTGTTTTTTAATATCTGGCTTGTAAAAAATCCTTTGATTCGTTGGTTCCCTCACTCTCCAGTTATTCCTTTAGAAAGAAGTTATCTAGTTTTATACTTTGTGGTACAGACCAACCTCCTTCAAGTCGGATAAGAAAGAAAGAAAGAAAGAAAGAAAGAAAGAATAAGCAAGAAGCAAAGAAGAAGAAAAATAAGGTGTTCAAAATGAAGAAAGAAGGCAGAAAGGAGGGAAGAAGAAGGGTAAAATAGTTGTTTAAAAGAAAGAAAGAAAGAAAGAAAGAAAGAAACAGGAAGCGAAGTAGAAGAAGTTGCTGGAGAAAAAAAAAACGAAAAAAGAGAAAAAAAGAAAGGATAAAACAGTTTTTTGCAAAGAATGAAACAAAGAAATCCAGGAAGAAAAGAGGGAAGTAAGAAGAAAGGATAAAAAGTTATTGAAAAGAAAGAAAGAAAGAAAGAAAGAAAGAAAGAAAGAAAGAAAGAAAGAAAGAATAACTGAAAGAATAAAGAGGGAGCGAAGAAGAAGAAAAATAAGCCTGTTCAAATAAAGAAAGAAAGCAGAAAGGAAGGAAGAAGAAGGGTAAAATATGTTGTTGGAAAGAAAGAAAGAAAGAAAGAAAGAAAGAAAGAAAGAAAGAAAGAAAGAAAGAATAAACAGGAAGCTAAGAAGAAGTTGCTGGGAAAAAATGAAAAAGAGAGAAAAATGAAAACATGTTTTTGCAAAGAAAGAAAGAAAGAAAGCCAGGAAGAAAAGAGGGAAGTAAGAAGAAAAGAATAAATAGTTAACGAAAAGAAAGAAAGAAAGAAAGAAAGAAAGGATGGAAGGAAGAAAGAAAGCGGAAAAAGGACCCAAACGTTGCAAGAAAGAAAGAAAGAAAGAAAGAAAGAAAGAACCAGGATGAAGGGAGAGAAGAATTAGAAGCATACGTTGTTGAAAAGAAAGAAGGAAAGAAGAGAAAAAATCAAGAACACCAACAAGGTGTTGAAAAGAAAGAAAGAAAGAAAGAAAGAAAGAATATGATGTTAGTATAAAGAAAATCAAGACGGACAGAAAGAATGAACGAACGAATGGACGAATGAACTCTCACAAATTTGAAGTCTATTCTAATTGCTATCATGTCATTTTTGCATTAATTGAAATTAAAGCAAATTCGATTTTTCTCACATGGACTAATTAAACGTAAATGAGATCATCACTTTGTAACTGTCTTGGCTTGGTGGCTTAAGGAGTTGCTTAATATTGTCCATTTTCTGGGTTTGATGGCGGGCGAAAGTCAAAAAGTTACGAATGTCGATTAACAAGGCAACAATTGATTCCAACGTGAAAGATTGACGCAGCACAATATTTCTACTCCTATTTCCCACTTTTCCGAATTCACTGAGACTTATATTAAATATATTGAAACAAATTAACTCAGATAGTTAGCTATCTTTTATTAGCACCATCGGTTCGATCTCTAGTAAAGGCCGTACTTGGAAAGCAGATCATCTATGCAGAGAGACCTTCCAAATTGAAATATAATCTTCCTACAACTCTTTCTTTCCATTTGGCGCTGATCACAACTCAGCCGTCAATGGTTGTGCTAGCACGAAGTCACAAGTCATTGTGACCGAGGGTCTGAGCGTGCAGTCCTTGTTCAGACTGTTGATAACGCCAGATAATGAGCTCTCGCCCAGAAACTTTAAATAAGGCCCGCTCAGCATTGAAAATTAGTAAGAAAGAAAGACACAAGATACACCCTCTTTTCACGAGTAAAGGAAGAATAAGAAAAAGTGTAACAAAGAAAAGAGAGGAGATAGTTGCAGGGTTTGTTTTGTTTTTATTCAGATCAAACAATCGAAATGGTCTACGTTAAGTTCAAAGTAAGGGGTAAAACGAAAGTTAAGAAAAAATCATACATAAGAGGTCATGACCCACAGATTTAGAAACGTAGACGACATCCAGACGTCATATACGGTTCGGATGTAAAATGGCTACAATGTTATACATTAGAAGATGCCATTTCTTATGAAAGATGAAAGGTAATTTAATAAACTACATTCCCTGTAAGTTAAAAAAAAGAAAAAAGAAAAAAAAAGAATTTTTATTTTTATAGTTGGTAAATAAACCAGCCCTTCAAGAAACAGATAGAAAGTTTAAACTAATAGAGCTAACAAAGTTATTAAAACAGATCTAACAAAATTATTTAAACATATAGATCATACAACATAAAATAGAATGCAACTGTTAACTAAAGAATCTTTATATAGGGTGTTAATAAAACCAATCAATGCAAAATGTCAAAATATCAGCCGAACGACAATACATCTATACTAAATATTACCAAAACTACTAGAAGGTTAATGTAAAAATTATACTACAACAAAACTGGTTTTACTGAGAAAAGGTAAACATTATATGGTGCAACAAGGTTTAACTAAAATCTAAGAAGAAGCAATTGTCAAATTTCAAAGTTTGCAAGAATGTAGAGTCAAAGGTATGATATGTTTACAATTAACCGTTAATTCAAATCTTTGATTTAATAAAGCATCCCTATCCAAGAACCTGATAATCTGCAGTTTTCCTGTAAACACAGAAAACAAGGTTCATATAAGGATCTACATGTTCTTGCTAGTTTTAAAATTTTCCATTTCACTTTAGGGGTTTTATTTTTCAAAAATATTTTGAAAGTGCTGTATTATTTCTATAAGTATAATTAGTAAAAGACGATGGGCTGATAGCATCAGGTTTTGAAAGAATTCTTAGTACTACCAATATAGAACTTTTCCACTCTTGGATTTTCTTTTATAGAGATAGAACAAAGATACACAAGAGATTTGTTTAAACATTTGTTTGACAATGGGCATTGGTTAGAATTCAGTCATGATACATTTGTTGTGGGCAACTATTTTCCGCAATCGTCAATGATGACATGTCTATAAAAATAACTCACCCACCTTCACCATCTAAGCTTACTTTTCTATTTAGCGTAGATCTGACATTTAATTGGTATTGAAACATGAAAGCTTTTGTGTTACGATTTCAATATGTTTTTATTATAAGAGATTATAATAAAAATAATATAACGAAATATTCAGTTGTTATGGTAACATGAAACTTTACTTGACACCACTGGAAGTAAACATGGCTCTTTTTACCATGACAATGGAATATCTCATTACTCAAGTTAATAATAAATTGTTTTATGTTCAAATTTCGATTGGTTTCTCTTAGCTTTCTTTGTATATTTTTTACTTTTAAAAATTTAAAAGTAACTCTAATGATCGTCACTACACGGAAAATTTCAGTTTTTATTTAATTGCTTGGCATTAAATGGGAAACTTAACCTATGATCATGGAATAAATATTTATATCATAATACGCACATACAATATATCTATATATATATATATATATATATATATATATATAAAATCACTTTCAACGTTGTTTTAGTGGATACCCATAGAAGTTCCGTTTATTTATTAAACAGTATATTTATTTATTTTCGTATACCGGCCTGAATATTAGAGATCTTATTACGCTTTCTGCTAAAATAATCTTTATAGTCATAAAATCTGTCGGGTTAATAAAACATTACTTCTTCAGAAATATATATATATATATATATATATATATATATATATATATGCATGTGTGTTTGTGTGAGTGTGTTTGTGTATGTGCGTGCTTCTTTGAATAAAACTGAATGGAACAGGACTCAATGAAAATAAAAATTGTCCAAAAGTTTGTTTGTTGCGTGATTTTTGGTTAAACTGTTTGCTATACTCAGAGATTCATTTTTGTTATATTACGATAATAAATGGCGTGTTTTCAGTAACGACTGTAGCATCTGCATCTGTTGATGTGGTGGGAAAGGGACTAAAACCATGATGCCAGTTCAAGACTGATAACGATGCAAATCCTGCCTTTCATGTTTCTTTTTTCGCAGAAAAAAAATTCTCCCTATAAAGCAGCCACTTGGCACAAAACTCAATCAAAATCAACACAGGGGACGTTTACATTTTTATCTCCATTGGTTGAAAACTCAAAGTTATCGATCCAAACGAACCACACCTGTTCGCAAATTTTAAATTTTGGCGGGCTTTCGACAAAATAAGAGTTTCTTTTGAAGAATTCTTTTGTATTCTTTCGAAAAATTTGAATACATTTCTATTTATGTTTTTTCATAAACCGACTGCCTTCATTTTGTGTTTTTTTAATTTCTTTTTAACCTTCAAATGGGAGACTCATTTTTGTACATCAAATTCTTCTTCCTTTTATATATATATATATATATATATATATATAGAGAGAGAGAGAACTCAAGAATGGATAAGAATCTGACAATATGATAGGTTAAAGAACAAGTCGGAAACAGATTTTAATCTGATATGTTTCACTTTATTAAAGCTTCGCCAGAGATGAAGATAGAAATGATCACTTTTATCTTATCTCTGATGATGCTTTATTAAAGTATTAGATTAAGATCTGTTTCCTACTTGTTCTTTAAACTATATATATATATATATATATATATGAATGTGCGTGTGTGTGTGTGTATGTTGTGGCAGTGTTAGACACAGAAACAAAGACACAAGAGAGGAATTGAGTTAAACAACTATATTAACAGAAACAGTAATACAAACATATACAAACGAGAGTGTTACTGCAAGAATGTTTGGTCCGACTGTCAGAGCTGACTGCTGGAAAAAGGCAATACCTGCTCCTATTTATAACTGAGAGAGTCCATGAGTGCGTGGATAAATTACCATAACAGTATATATGTATATATGTATATATGTATGTATGTATATATGTATGTATGTATATAAACTAATAGTGATGGATAAATTACTGTCTAAATAATGCAAAAATGAAAATAACAGATTAAAATACTAAAGAGTAAATTTATTCAATAAAATTGCCACTAGCTTCAATCTCGACCTCCAAATGACTTCGGAATTTGCTGTAACTCTTCTGGATGGACTCCTTGTTTAAGTTGGTGAATGCTGCCATAATCCTTGCCTTCAGTTCATCTTCGGGTTTACAAGGCGCTTTGTCGGTCACTCGTCCAACTGCGCCCCACATATAATAATCAAGGGGTTTGCAGTGTGTGTGTCGGGGGGATTAGGTAGCCAGATGTAAAAATTGTCATACAGCCCTGATTGGGTTCTTCTGCTTGTGTGGCCTTGTGCAGAGTCCTGTTGCCAGACACCAGGTCTTTCAGTAGCCACACTTTTCACCTAGGCCAGCACTACCTTCTCAAAGCACTTAATGTAGGCCTCTGTATTGAGTCTGATGGCCTGTGGGAAGATGAATGGAAGCATAACGTCACCATGACTAGTGATCACCATTGATCACCATGACTTCGTAATCACCATTAACTCATCCAACTTTTTCCGAATTATCGCACAATATATATATATATATATATATATATATATATATATATATATATATATATATATATATATATATATGAATAAATACAAAGGGTAAACTCATCTTAGCCGACGCGTTTCGTTCTCTAAAGGGACTTTATCAAGGCAAATGCGAAGATTTAATTTTTCTATTTGTTTTTATTCATATTGTTCTTTTACAGAAATACCATATCTGAAATGTATACAAAACACACACACACACACACACACACACACACACACACACACACACACATATATATATATATATATATATATATAAATATAATTAATACAAACAAAAGTTTGCCACTTAGCTGATTGATGTTACCTTCAGCATACCGACACCAGAGTTTCGTAGACGGAACCTCCCGGGAATTACTCTCCTCAAGGGCTACCATCAATATATATATATATAACCGACTGGTTTCCTTTGAGCAGTTTTTTTAACTTTAAATTGAAGCTTCATTTTTGAACATCAATTGTTATTCATATTCTTTTTTTATAAACCGACTGTCTTTATTTTAACGATTTATTTAGAAATGAAACCGAATTATATAAACTTTTTAATTTTCTTAGTTTTACATATATTTTATGTTAATTTTTATATTCATTTTTACACAATCACAACTTTTTCTGTTTTATAAAAAATAATATTTCATAAAACGAATATACGTCCTGTGTATGACGATAAACTACAGCAAGGGCCCTCTAATTGGGAGATTGAATGTTTTGAGGAGCGTGGATCCACGTCTGAACTGCTGTTGTTCCCAGATACACCCTGACTTGGGGTTGTGGTACCTTTTGGGGTCTCAGCTATAGGCACGTGGTTGGCAGCCAAACTGGGGTCAGAGTTCTAAGATGTAAAAATGGATTTTTATAGTGAAAAAAATATTACCACTAATACATTTTTGAAAAAAAGCAAATATTAACAACAATAAATTTTGTAAAAGAAATTACTAATACTTCCAAGAAAGTTATATTTCGTCATTAAATGACCCATAAAGTGTTGATATGCCTCTAGACAAACAAGCAAACAAACGAATATATTCTAAAAATCTTGTTGGCATTAAATAACCCATTGAGGTTGATATACCGTAAAACAGAATAAACCAAACTAATGAAGGTTGATGTGTCGCTGAACAAAATCAACCAACCAATCCTCTATCATGTCTTCACTTGTGAAAGCATAATAACATTTTTATTACTTCAAAGCCCCCAAGAAAATTGAATTTGGGCATTAAATGACCTGTAAGGCCTTGATATGCTGTTAAACAATGTAATCTAAAAATCTTGCCGGCACTAAATAACCCATTGAGGTTGATATGCCGTAAACTCAACCTAAAACCTAAAACGAATATACCCATAACCAATCATAACACATGTCCTTTTTATATTATTGTTTTTTCTTCTTCTTCAGAACGTGGCCGGAAGCGGAACTCTCTTGGTAAAACTGATTTCATTCAATAATCCTATGGGACTTGATGCGAGCGGAAAATGTTGTGATAGTTTTTTCAAAACTTCAAATTGCTTCGATTCGTGCGACCATCAGTTTCACTTGTGCTTTAAAAAGAAACCAAGGTAACCATGTTTTTTATTATTTTTATTTTTTTCTCCATCAATCAATTGTCGTCTGCCTAATGTTTTGTTTGGAATCTGCGTTGGTTTAATTTAAACTCAGCCCGAAGAAAACTTTTAAAACAGAACCCACATCAATAACGAAGTACTGAGTTCTTTAAGTGGATTCTTCCTCTTCTTCTATATGCCGTGTCGCTTCAGGGCGCTAGCGATCGTGGCTCTCCACAATCTCCAGTCCTTCGTAGCTCTTAATTAAGTCTCGCCGTTTTACAGTTGAGCTAGATAGATATAACCGTAAGCTCTATTCTAATAATTTCTTTACTAGCTCTTTTCGCTTGTGGAACGCCATTCCGAATTCTTACTTCCCTGATACTTCCAATCTTTCAAAATTTAAATCAAACGTCAACTGCCATCTCTTACCTTTTCTCAACCCTGTTCCTTTCCTCACTTCACATCACTAAAGTTTTATCATTCTCATTTACTTCTTGTAAACGCCTTGAAACCGATTCGAATTATTGCCTTGTTTGGGGTGAAAAGGTAAGCAAGGTAGGCAGTGCTCACCCTGAATAAATTGAATTTTCCTCCCATGGCACAATATGCACCTAGTCCAACAAAATTATGAAAGTTACTCTGATTATTACACATAAAATGCAAAATATTTTTTCTGTACATTTACTACATAAAGGTCACAAGCTGCCTACCCTGAGTAAATACTGACAGCATATATATATATATATATATATATATATATATATATATATATATATATATATATATATATACTTTAAAAATCAGGAGTTCAATTAAAATACGCGACCTTGGTTTCGATCTGACGGTCTCTTCGGGCGATATTTTTAAAATATCCACCTTAACGCTTTATTAAAAAAAAAAAGAAAAAAAAAACACAAAGAACGCTATATAATTATTTTTCAAAAATAAATTAACCGGTGCATGACGATCGAAAAACATGACATTGAGTGTAATAGAAAGGAAGGGGGTATGGAGAAGAAAGAAGAAGTAAAAAAAAAAGAAGGGTGAAAAAAAAGGAAAAAAAGAAAGGAAAGGAACGGGAATACAAGTATATTGTATATGTATACAATAAAGAAGAAGCAAAGCAAATATGTAACTTAAATATAAGGAAGGATAGGGAGGCGAGCGTATCTTAAGAATAACAATAGGGTTTTAAATTAGATTTTTTTTTTATCTGGCCTCATATTCACTTAATAAAATTTTTTTAGATATGAGAGCAAGGACTTAAAATTTCGGAAATCCATTTTGGAATCAGGCCGACTCCGTGAGCAAATTAAAAACATTCCGGGTCGAATCCCTACCCGCAATCCTGAAATTTTGGATTCCAAGATTTTTATACGTGATTTATTGCGACGAGATTTTGTACGATAACAATTTTTTTAACTTGGAAATAAATTTGGGATTAATCGAAATTAATTGCGAAATCCAGCAAAAGTCACCAATGAAATAAAAATAATTGTTTGTAGGGAAAGTAAGGACCTACGTACATCAAATTGTCTTTAAATTATGTGGCAGCATAAGAATTATCGTTAAACTTTTAAAAGTTATACTTAAATACAATGATCAATTTTAAGTTCTTCTGTAGTTTATTGTTGCCTATTGCATACGGCAGCAGTATGCCTCACAATAAGAATTTTCCTCGAACAGAGGACCAGATTGTAATCAAAGAGACAAGGCTACAGTGAGGAAAAGAAAGTCCCGTGCAAATGAAAACCCAGATCAAACGGCATTTAGAACTTCTAATGCTGAGAATATGTAAAGACTTAGGAACTCTCAAACTCTTGAACATGCCGATGGCTCAATCAAGATCTTTTCGCAGGAGCTATCTTAAATGCCACCCGGTACTGCGGCTTTTAAGCTAGTATATATATATTAACAGCAAAATCAAATATTTTCTTGTCTATTAACCCATTAATGTTCCAATTTGTTGGATGTTGGGTGTTATAATTAATATAGGATCTTATTAATCTAAAATCTAAGCGAAATTTTACAAATCTAAAATTAATAGGAATCTTTTTTTAGAAAGCCATTAATAATAGCAGAATTATTACTTATATACTTATAATTATAAGTAATTATTCAATTCCAATTAGATTCTCTATATTCATTTACGTGCAAATACAATTGAATTCACCTCTTCACCAAGATCTATGGATTAATTAATAAAACTTGTTTCGCTAAAACGAATAGAAATAAATTAAAATAAACAAAATTGTGACAAAATATTTAGATTTCGGCATTAAATAACCCATAGAGGTGTTCATATGCTGCTAAACATAAACAACCAAACTGTATTGGGAACTGAAATTTAATCTAACATGTTTCATCAGAGATCAAGATAGAAATGATAAAAAATTATAAAAATCAAAGAGTCTCAGATTAATGGTATGTTTTGATTGGTTAGTTCTTATTGGTCAGATACGTGTCACGTGTAATGAAGTAACAGATAATATTCAAATATGCGTAAGAAAAC